CTCCGGCTCCCTCCCCCAGTCCAAAGACATGCAGCTTAGGTTGATTGGTGTCTCTAAATTTCCCATAGGAGTGCATGTGCATGTGTCTGGTTGTTTGTCTATGTGTTAGCCCTGCGATGGATTGGCGACCTGTCCAGGGTGTATCCCGCCTTCACCCGATTGCTGGCCGGGATTGGCTCCCCCCCTGTGACCCCGCTCAGGGACAAGCGGTAGAAAATGAATGAATGTCATTGGCATAGAATTTCTGAGCGTTCGGCTGCAGTTTAACAGCATTTTGTTCAGTATTTCTGTGATCGATATCATACAGACCAGAGATCTCGCTGTTGTTGAAGGTACCATATGTAATATTGTTTCATGAAATTTGTTGTGTGCACTATTTGCCATTGTTGTGTGCTGGCCAGAAAATGTTTGTGCCACACAAGCCATTTTATTCCAGACTCTTAGGCTGCTAGCTTGTTTCAATACTGTCCATGTGTACTTCATATGCTATTTGCACCTCATCACCAACACCCTGGTGATGCTGAACCATTTGACAATTTCCTATTATTGTTTTGCACTACTGTCACTGACTGTACACGGTTTTGAGTCACAGCTTATTGGCTGTACCGTTTAGATTTATGCTAATGGCGTTAATCCAGTTCTTACTCTATTCCATTCTTGTTATGGTTACACACCACCAGAGGTAGTGTGACAGAGAGGCAGACTCAGAAAGACTGACTTCACCATAAGCAATGCTTTATTTTTTTTGTGCTGTACAAGGTAAGGAGTGCAATGATGTGACAAATAACTGTGCATATGAATAGGAGGAGATGGTTATGGATGTCAACAGCAGGATGGCAAAATCAGGGTGGTTGCTGGGCCGAACGTGAAGATCACTCACTGGTTGGTCGTGCTGAGTTGGTGAGGCTGGAGAGCAGGGAGAAAGTAGAAGGGAGTTGAAGAAGAGAGCACTGACCTGGCTAGTGAATGGTTGTATGATGGAGAATGATGTAGGTCCGGAGGTAACGGTTCCATGTGTGTAGTAAGAGTCCACATAGGAAGGAAGAAGGCAGGAGAGGGCGAGGAGTGGGCTTCGTTGAAGCAGGAGAAAATCAAACAGGTAAACCCACAAGGCAGGTATAAAACAGTTCTTTGGAAACTCAAGGGCAGCACCAACTGTCTGTGCGGAAACGATACAAACTGGCAGTGAGCAGGTAGGAAGGCAGGGTATATATATAGGAGATATGGTGATTGCAGGAGTGGAAACAGGTGGTGTTAATGGGAACAGCTGGCAGGTGTGTGGAAGAGAGAGGGCAGGTGAAACCGAGCAAACCTGAAAATTCTATTTTTATTCTAGCTTATTCTATTTTAGTTCCTAAATGTTATGGTACCCAATACTAGGTGAGAGAGAAAGGGTATTTCGATTTCTGTATGTCCTGCACATATGGTGAATTGACAATAAAATCCTTGAACCTTCCATGCACCGCTCTCCAGCTGTTTTCAGTGGGTATACATGGATGAAGGTAAGGCGCCGCTATCATCCTCAGTCATCTGCACCCTTTTAATTTCTCTTTGATGGTCCACCCACGCATATGCGGGATAAATCATAATGTGCACGCCGCAATTGAACGTCCCGTAATCTTCTTATTCTGTGCTACCACTGAACACATATATTTCCCATGTAAAAATAGGTCAGAAAAGCTGTGATAAATTGTTGAAACGGATCCACTAAATATAAAACGGTGCATTCTAGTTGCGCTGTCCTCACCTCTGTACAGATTCTACTGCTATACAGTACTGGGAGGGAATGTAAGTCTGAGTGTGCAAAGTAGTCATTTCCAGGTAAGCAGAGGTTAAATTCATATTACATGTAGATTTTGTTAATAATTTTTCTCTCTCTTGTGTTACAGGCTAATTACAGCCTCCCTCAGACCAGCTGTTAGCTCAAAGTCATCTAAGGAGCCTTCAGATGAAGAGCTGGTTCAGGCGGTAGTTGAGACAGAGGAGTGTGAGTAAAAAATTGAAGTTGATGTGCCATTTAGTGGATAATTCAAAAGGCTTAAATGTATTGTTGACTGTCCTTTTTATTTTTGCTTTTTAAATCTCTCAGAAGCGCAGAGATGACGAGGTATGTTTGGGTCTAGTTAAAAAACAACAACGAACAAACAAAAAAAGAAAACACTTTATGGTGTCTGCCTGATGCTAGTCTTCAATCGCTAACCAGTCACCTGTCAAAGTATCACCATTGAAAGGCATCTGTAGAGTGCAGTAACATTTGCTTCAGCATTTTGGCCCTTGTAACCCACACAGCTCCCGTATGAGGCTGAGTCACAGCTAATCCCGTTATCATTCTTTTGTGTTCTCCCCTCCTATTTATCTCTTCAAAACCACCTCAGCACACGTACACCTGGCCCCGACTATAGGCCCCCACGTTCACCGGGCGTGGGGCTCCAGCCAGTCGCAGCCCAAGTCTGGCCTCACCCGACGCCAGCCTGGGCTCCTGCTCCTCTCCTACACACCTCCACAGACCCCGTGCACCGGCCAAACCTGCGTACCCACTCTTAAGCACCTCTTCCCTTGCCTCACGCCTGTCAAACCCACCCGGGTGCTGCCCCTGGTACTCCAAACAGAGTTTCCTGGTCTCGGTGCTCTGCCTGAAGTTTTGTGCTCCTGGTATCCCAGTGGTAGGACTTGCTCTTTTTGTGCAGTGCGCCATGCCCCTGGGCCTCCACAGAAAACCAAGAAAACCTCCATCAGTGGACTGAACGACTACAGACCTGTTGCCCTGACATCTGTAGTTATGAAGTCCTTTGAATAGACTGGTGTTGGCCCACCTGAAGGACATCGTAGACGCCCTGCTAGACCCCCTACAGTTCGCCTACTGGGCAAACAGGTCAGTGGACAATGCAGTGAACATGACACTGCATTACATCCTGCAACACCTCGACTCCCCAGGGACCTATGCATGGGCCCTCTTTGTGGACTTCAGCTCAGCGTTCAACACCATCATCCTGGACATCCTCCACTCCAAACTGACCCAGCTCACTGTGCCTGCCCCCACCTGTCAGTGGATTACTAGCTTTCTAACAGACAGGAAGCAGCAGGTGATGCTGGGGAAAACCACATCCAGCACCTGGACAATAAGCACAGGTGCCCCCCAGGTATGTGTGCTCTCCCCTCTGCTGTTTTCACGCTACACCAACAAGTGCATCTCGAAGGACCCCTCTGTCAAGCTCCTAAAGTTTGCTGATGACACAGCGGTCATAGGTCTCATCCAAGATGAGTCAGCCTACAGACGGGGGGTTGAGCAGCTGGTCCTTTGGTGTAGCCGCAACAACCTGGAGCTGAACATGCTCAAAACAGTGAAGATGACAGTGGACTTCAGGACGAACCCCCCCACACCACCACCACCACCATACCTGGCAGCACTGTACCAGCAGTAAAGTCCTACAAGTTCCTGGGATCCACTATCTTTCCAGACCTGAAGTGGGCATCCACCATCAGCACCATCCCCAAAAAGGCACAGCAGAGGATGTACTTCCTGCACCAGCTCAGGAAGTTCAATCTGCCCCAGGAGCTGCTGAAACAGTTCTACAGAGGAATCATCAAGTCTGTTCTCCACACCTCCATCACTGTCTGATTTGGCTCAGCAACCAAACAGGACTGGACAATAATCCTCAGTGCAATACCTGTGTATATACAGTATACATTGTACAGATTATACAGACTCGTACAGGTCTCTAGTTTTAAGTACTCTATCTTTATCCCTATTTATCTCATTTCAACGAACATTCCTTGTTGTCTGCATTGTTTACTGTCTGTTCATACTGCTTATTCTGCATTGTTTGCACTGTTTGTTGCTGTCAATATTGCTGTTAATACTGCTTATTTTGTTATATTACACAGCCTTATGCTGGTTTCCTGTTTGCACATTGAGAGCCGATGTACCTGAGTCATATTCCTCGTGTGTCCATCACATCTGGCCATTCTGATTCACAGAGAGCTCCAGAGGGAGGGAGGGCACCTCTCCGCAGGCCCTCACCCACAACCAAGCACCACCTCCAGCACAGCAAAGCATGCAGTCCCCAATGTGCTCCCTGGTTGGGACTTTGCCATTTTTCTCTCTTCCTCTGCCATACTGCACCTCCAAAGTAGAGCCAACACAGAGTTTAGAGCCAGAGGCAGAGCCAAGGTGAAGGGACAGCTTCTATTTGAATTCACTTTATAAGAAATATTTTAACAAAGAGCAAAAATAAAAAACCCATCTTATTTGAATTGTAAAATACAAATGTTTTAAATCTGCACTGAAATAAGGATGGTTCCAGTTGGCTTACAGTATGAAATGTAAATGGCAGCTACATCCAGCTGCTCTCATAACAGAGAATCTTGAAACTAAATCTTAACGGTGCAAGATGAACTGTTTGTTGCAATGGCCCTTTATTTAGAATGATTCTATCTAATTGTAATCCTGTCTAAAATGTTGCCATTTAAGCTACAGCTATACACAGTTTTATTTCATGGTTTAATTTCAAGGTTAATTTTTAATTTCAATTCAATAAAGTTGCTTCCAAGTGTTTCTTTGCTGTTCATCTTTCATTTAATACATTTTATTAAGGGCCTTTCTGGTGCCAGAGTAACACCAGCCCTGAAATTCAGACACTAATCATGTTTTGGGTCAGCATAGCGGAGCAGTGATTAGTACTTTCACCTCACACCAAGAAGGTTCTGGGTTCAAGTTAGGGGCGACCCATTGAGTTCGCATGTTCTCCCTGTGCCTGTGTGGGTTCTCTCAGGGTGGGTAAGAGTGAATGTGGGTGTTTGTGTTGTCTGTTTCTGAGTGTCAGCCCTGTGTAGACTGGCTCTCGCCCAATGTCAGCTGGGATAGGGTCCAGCCCCCAGGTCTGTTCATGGGGACAGCCCTTGCTTGGTAGAAAAAAAGTTAGAAATTGGCACTATCACTGAGGAGATGAGGAAAGACAACCAAGGGGTACTTCAGTGCAGCAGCCTACATCTCATTTTCAGTAGACATTATAAGGTGATAAGTAACCCTGCTAATAACCCTTCCTTGTTTCTCTTCTCCTATCAGAAAAGCACCTATTAATATGATAGCTATATGGGAGATGAGCCCAGTGTTGTATGAAAATGAATAAGCCTAATGCATGTAGTAAATAACTATGGAAATGCCAGTGAGGAAAGGAGGGCAGACACAATAGACACCAAATGCATGCTGGGAGAGCTGCCTGATGCAGCGATCTCCACACACAAATATAGACCTACAGTAGGTAATGATGCAGGATCATACACGTACAAAAAGTGAATGGAAGAAAGAAATTTCAGTTTTATATTCCACCACCTAAAGTGCAAAGATAAACAATGATGCCATGATAAAAAAGTAAATGAATAAAACTCTGCTAAATTAATAGTTATATTTAAAGACACAAGTTAACTTGATTTATTAATACTAGAGGATCTTGCTTACCTAGCGATCCTTTTAGTGTGAACCATTTTATCAATACCTCAAGTTATTATGTAAAAGTACTTTACACACACATATATATATATATA